ATCTTTGGGATGTTTTGTTTTGCTAACAGTGTTATATAAATACAAACTATTGATTGAATTGACTCAATGGGTTACTGTACCGTAAATTTGTTCTGATGTGTTCTTCTGTATATGCACTTATGAAAAGTACTCCTCATGAGCACCATTCAGATGTTAAAATTACTTGTGTTGAAGATAACTTGGCAACTTGTCAGATATCAGATTTTTCTCACAAAACAAATTGTTTTGTCATTGCAGCAAAGATCATAGTGTGTTTTTCCCCCATACCTTAGTGCTGCTTTCCCCTCTACTAGTTAATTTGTTGCCATAATTCTTCGACTAGATTTACTGAAAGTTGCGTGCCAATGAATGCATTTTATAAGTAAAACAAATGACGAATGTTTATGTAGCAGTGGTCACAAAGCCTGTTTCCAGCCAAAAGCAACCATATTCACTCAATACGTTGTCAGTTTCATTACAAATTGTAGACTATGAACTTCAAAGATTACAGTATAATAATGATTGCAGTGCATGCATTTAAATGTTAGTGACTCACAGATTCACAATGCTGGATTAAGCATTAGCCTAAGAAGTTAGCTTGCTGGTTGAACTTTTACTGGCATTTCTGGCATTTCATTACTAAAGTTTTTTTTTATTTAAAAGTCAAAAGCAGCCTTGTATTTAACGTGTTGATTCCAAGCTTACATACACATACGTATTTTGTGAAGCTTATTCTGTTTGATGGTTATCTGAAATGTATTCTCAGGCTACTGCTAAACTAATTTGCTACTTCATTTTCAAGATGCTGTATTCCTTTTATCCAGAAAATATTTCACTTTGGCTATGCAATTGGCTGTATTCTGTAACAATCAGTAATTTTTGGTTTAAATGTATCTTACGGAATTACAATGCTGAGTATCTGTGACAATCCCTTTTCAATGGGGAATACCTTCAAAAAGTAAATTGTTGATGATTTGTGACATGTGGCAGTGAATATTAACATTTGATAGGTTTTCTCATTTGGCACCCAGTTCAAAATATTTACGGTTACAATTACAGAGTATGATTATATTTTTCTGTATTTGCCTTGTGAAAATATAGTGGTGTTTTTGAGTGTCGCAGGAGTGGAAGCAGATTGTTCTAACAGCAAATGTGAAATGCATCTTCCTTTTGGGATACAATATCATATTGCAGAGTATTGGTATACATTTTGCTGCTGTCATTTGCCTTCAGGTGATCAACAGTGTGTCTGTTTAGATACCAGAACTAATAAAGCTGTTCAGCCTTGCTCATCCAAGATCCAAGACAAAGTGCACCAAGTCCTCGTCAGAAAGTTGCTGTTCGTTGACAATGCCATACTAGCATTTCAAACCCACGAACACCTTCGGTGGCTAATGGACAGACTCTCTCTTATTCTAGTAAAGATTTTGATTTGACCGTTGGCACTGGGAAAGCAACTGTCATGGACCAAGATGTTGCCAACCTTCATCTATCACCATTGACGGTGCAATGATGAATGATGTTGAAAGCTTCATATATTTAGGTTCAGTGATCACTAATAGTTTGTCACTTGATGCTAAAATCAACTCGTGCTTCACAAATGCAATAACCTGACTGAGAAAACAATCTACACATCTACTTACCCTGCATCTCCCATCGCACTGTTCTACAGTGGTGAGATCTGGACAGCAGGTGCTTAGTAAACAAATGACTGTGTGGTTTCCACCATCATTGTCTAACTTATGCTTGGTATCTCTTGGCAGGACAAGGTCACCAACTCCAATATCTTGGAGCATGCTAATTCTCAGAGTAGATTCTTTGCTAATTCGATGATGTCATGGCTCAGCGACACTTGGTATACGGTCAGGGACCAAACAACCAAAGACCTTCAGTGTAGTGAAAAAGCCACTAGGTCATGATCTTCTGGGTGGCCATACATCCATTGCAATGATATCTAGAAATGAGATATAAAAACGATGGATATTGACAGTGACAACTAGGTGACAGCTACCAACAACCATGATCTCTGGAAACTGATTTTTTTATTTTTGGAAGGCTGTTGGAAGAGACCAGCAGAAATAAGCAGTTCAGTTAGCCAAGAAAGAAGCCTATTAAAAGTGGGCCAGTAAACTTCTCAACCCATTATCTTGCTGTGCAGCAAATGCTAACAAACTTGATTACCATGCACAAACCTTTGTCTTATGTGATGGAAGACTGCCACTGTGAATGCAGTGATCATTGCGCTATTCATACAAACCTACTGTTTAGTGTTGCAATCTGTAATGCAAAATAAGGGAAATTAGCAGCTACATTTTCATTTTGAGATACCTTCAAACCATCATTTAAAAAAAGCACATGCAATTTTGCATTGTCTAATAATAGAAATATACATTGTGATACTGGCATGTAGTCTGCACTGATCATGTGGACATGCCCAACTGGATTTCAACATATAAAATATGTCAGGTCCCACCAGGCAACATCTCCATCTACAGCATTTTTGAAGCAGCATCTCTTTTGTTTATTATTTTATTGTATTGGCAAAACACATTCGAATACACACTGCCACCTTGTGGTGGATACTGTACAGTATTTCATCTTAACACTTGAATTTGACCTGATTTAATTTGTAGCTTGTTTAAGTGACAAGCAAAGTGACATCTTTTTATTGAATCCATTGGAAATTTTACTCCTCAGCCTTTCAGTATTAATTGAATTTTGAATCAAATGGTACAATTTTTTAAAAAAATGGACTGAATAGACTTGTTGTATACCTTTTTCTCGTGTGCCATTTAGACTAGTGTGAGTACTTGTAATATCCAAATCTTGGATGATTGGATTCATTTCTGGAAAAAAATTTAACATCATTGTGCAGTCAGAGTTAAGGAGTTATGCTGCCTTGGTACTTAATCGATTCTACTGTCAAATAACTGGGTAATATAACATAAAAACTGAAATTCTTTGTGATAGTTTCTGGTGCTTGTGTCAAGTTGATCTTTGTGAGCTAGAACATGGCCACTCTAGTCGTCATCATCACTTGTATAAATTCAGCATTTCGATAGCATGCTTTCCTTTTAAGGTTTTGAAAAATCCACTTATAGTTTATGAAGTTTCTCGAATGTGGTCTGGGAGATGTAGCGATCTAGCGTTATCCATGCTGTGAGTAAAATTACAAATCGGGCAGCTACGCCAGAGCTAATGTAGACCTTCTAAGGACTCGAGGCTCTTTTTCCCCTTAATTTGCAAGCTGAGAAAAATTTATGAAATGATGAAGCCTTATTTTTGGCATATTATTCCAAGTATTCTCCTCTTATATATGTGACATTACTACCTTCTTAGAGAAAGTCTAAATACTGACATTTCAAACAATAACTTCTACTCAAATACTCAAGTATTTTTATGTACCTCTCTTGTGTGCTGTGTTGCAAGAGCTGATTGCCTTGTCTTATGACCCAGTTTTATTCTACTCCTAACCTTTATTGTGATAGTATTAACTTCCCTTTTTTTTTAAGATGCCAGAAACTGTCCGTGGATGATAGGCAAATAAAACTTCAAGTTTTTTGTGTTTATTTCTATCACTGTTTCAATCTATAAATGTATACTGTTTGGTCCAGATTTTGAGGTAGAAATAGTGGTGAGGCCATTGACCTAGAAATCAAGGGGTTGCTTTCCAAGTTTTGTTTTGCTCCTCCATAAACTGCTGTGTAACAGTACCTCATTGAGAGGCTTGGCATTCGCGTATATAAATAGTTATGAATTTGCATTATCTAGCCACTAAATACTCAATAAACACACCAGAGAAAATTTGTCTTGTTTACTCAGTATAAATGAATTTTAATGCCAAGTAATGTTGTTGTAACTTGACAAACCACCAAGAGACTCAGGCACAAGTTTAATGACCATTTATTGAAGTATATGCAGAGAGAGCCAGCTTTGGACAGCCTAAGACTGTACTCTGAAAAATCGCAAGTGCTCTGTCCTTACATACACCTTAAATCACCTATACGTTACTCACGCTAATCTTGTCAGTTTGCAGTCACATGTTAAACAGAGATCCTAGTGTCAGTATTAGTTCCTGCAGTACATACATCAGGCATTGTTTTCAAAAATCCATTGTTTCCCATATCTTGCTGATTGATTGATTGTGCAGTCGAGTCTGCCTCTATATTGACCACACACTGACCTGTTTATTTGCCCTAGTTTCATTCCCTATCCTATATAGAGTGCATATGCTAATCTTCTGTTCTGTGGGGAAAGAACAGGAAAGTGGGTGTGAGGTGTGTTGGACTAGCCATGATCCTATTGACTGGCAGAGCAGTCTTGAGTCCTGTTTCTATTTCTTATGGCTTTATGTTCTCCTTTCTGCCTATCTTATTTTACTAAAAGGCTTTTCTAACTTACATCATTTAACCCTTTTAGTAAGTAGTACTATCCAGAAGCTGATCAGTAAGGACGCTTAAGGAGACATTCCATTGTTGCTCTGACCATATGGATACCAGACCTCTGCAGAGGGTCCAGACTGTTGGCTTGCTAATTACTGAAAATTATAATGCAAACACCCATTGCTGTGGTTGTGTAATTTTAATGAGCATTCAGAACTATTCTTTCATTGCTGCTAACAAAATGTGGGTCAATTTTTTAAAAAGTATTGTTTAAAGAAACTTACAATTTGAGAAGAAAGTTTTAAGTTGAATTCAATTGAAAGTATACTATGCAAAATAATTGACTTAATTATCTATTTGCATTAATAGACAACGGTGAAATACTTCTGTCATTATAGTTTTAATTGAGAATCCTGACTGAAAATACCTAACTTATTCAGAATCTTTTTTTTTTTAATAATGATTGCAAGGCTTGTTTTGTAACTGAAGTGACCATAATCCATTAATTTACACAGTTGACAAAATGTTTTTAAAAACTTGTCTCTTTTAGAAATACTACATCTATAAATTTGCTCTATTGTAGATTTAACAAGCCAGCTGAGAACTCCTGTAAATATTTAATTTTAATTCCTTTTGCAGAGGCAGAATTCCTCAGAAGGACCTGGAAGGATTGTTTCAGGGTATGAGCGGTGATTTTACTAGTGAAAAGTTTTCTGCCACCTGGTATCTGATAGAAAATCACTCTGCTACGAGGTTAGTTAAAAGGCACCATTAGAATATGCGTTCTGAATCTTTGTTGTCATTTGAGTCAACTTTTTAAACGCCCATTTAATAAAAAAAATTGTAGTTTTAAAAAAATGCAATCTGTGCTTAACTGCTTTTACTTATGACTGGCAATGAGGTTACAGCTCCTGGTGTACAGGTGAGGTGCTGCTTATGGTAATGCTCTACTAAGCTTTGTCAAAGCCAACTGTTGAGAAGTTCATCTTTATTTCCTTAAAGGCAAATAGCATTGCCCTGGCACCAAATAAATGCACCATAACAGCATCTTTTCTGACCTGCACAGAAATAGCCTATAAAAGTGGTCATATAATTACAGGCAGACAATTTCTAAAATGTACTTTCAGTTGCTGAGAAAACTGGCCGCGGTATATTTTAGAGTGGACGTTATTCAGCATCACATTGTGAGGTAGATGGAGCAACAGTGCAGTCTTATTTTAAGTTCTGTAAAATGTTTTCTAGAAATTTTTAATGCTGAATATTGTAAAGTGAACTGAAGAAATACATGGAGCCAATGAATGTTTGTATCAGAATAAGTTCAATTATTTGATGTGGAAACATTCTACAATACTTTCATTTAAAAAAAATAGTTCTTTAACATATGTGCAGAGGTTTTGTGGTACACACAAACTAAAATCTTTCTAAAAGGCCCACGTAGCTGTTATCTGGGGAGTGAAATCACTTGTCACAATAGGTGGTCAGATAGTTGTGCGTGCACATTTTTCAGCATGACATTTAGAAGTTGAATAATGAAAAATACAACATAATAGCAGAACCGAAGGAAATTATGTTGTTAAATTTACCAAAGAAAAGGAACAAACCATAAATAGAAAATTAAATGTTTGAGGCAGTACACAAAGTTATTTTTCCCCTGAGTCTTCTGACGGGTAACCACGTGAACGTTCATCTGTCAAATCTCAATCTATGTATTTTGTCCAGGTTTCTTTGAAAATAATTAAACTCCTTTCTATTCAGTATCTAGTTGTAGACCTTTATATCACATGCAAATTTAGTAAAATTGCTACGTACACCCTGTTCCAAATCTTATAAATCTTATAAATAGTTGAGTTTCCAAAGTAGATTTCTGTAGTTTCATTAATTAGTTCCTCTTTCAGGAATTGGGCACTTTGTGTTTATTACTACCGTTTCTCTCTTCAGTTGCCAGCTCAACTATACAAGTTAGCAACTGTTTGGCAACCTCTAGGCCTCCTTACTAACCTAATATGAAAAATTTTGTCAAGCCGTTTTGACAATTTGGGTAAATTATATTTGCTAGATTATCTTGTTCACTGGCTTAGTCGCACCTTCAAAGAATATCTTCTGGTTTGTAAATTTTAAAAGAAACATTAATGGGATGTGGGCATCGCTGGCTAGGCCAGCACTTATTGCCCATCCTAATTACTGTTGAGAAGTTGGCAGCGTGCTGCCTTTTTGAACTGCTGCAGTCCATGCAGTGTATGTAATAAAAGTCATTTTGGGTGTACCCGCACCTAATGTATTGCAGCGGTTCAAGAAGGCAGCTCACCACAACCTTCTCAAGGGCAAGTGTGCCCACATTCCATTAATAAATTTTAGAAAAAAAGGGATTATCTGTACTAAACTGCCTCCTTGATACTTGTGGTACTTAAATACTACCAGTTATTTTTCCCACTATTTTGTTCCTTGGATTGTAGTTGCTGTGTCCAAGATCCTTTAAGCTACAGACAAAAGTCAGAAGTTGCTGGTAAAGCTCAGCAGGTCCGGCAGCATCTGTGGAGAGAAATCAGAGTTAATATTTCAGGTCAAGTGACCCTTCCTCAGAAACATTAACTCTGGTTTGACTCCACAGCTGCTGCCAGATCTGTTGACCTTTTCCAGCAATTTCTATTTTTGTCTCTGATTTACTGCATCCACAGTTATTTTGGTTTTCCTGTAAGCTACATTTCTTAAACTCTAATTTTCAAATATTTAGAAAGTTCTGAGAAGTAATTATTTTCGTATATATAATTTTCTCATTTGGGGTACCATATGGGAATTCACTTACTATTGCTACGTATGAAGCTGGACTGAAAATTGTTTTTAAAAATTCTCTTTGGCTTAAAAAAATGCTTTTGTCCTCAAAGGATGAATTAACTAATTTTGACTTGCCTTAACTTGAATATTTCAACTGTTTGTGCAGTATTAAAATCATGCTTTTGTACCATGGGATGCTTATTTAATAAATGAAAAACAAAGTATGTTTTAGTTCTTGCTATTTTTAAAATCTGATTGGTTGTGTGTAACCAATAACCAGTTATTGTAAGTTATACTGTCATTTGGCCTGAGAACCCTGACCTGTGAATGAGCAGCTCAAATTCCTAACTTGGTCCTTGGCTTTTCCTTATGCACTTATTAACGTAATACAGTAGTTATGATAACCATCCACTTTTGTACCAGTTTTGTTGCCCAGCAATCCCATTACAGAGTAATAGAATCATAGAAACATAGAAGATTGTCGTAGAAGGAGGCCATTCAGCCCTTCGAGCCTGCTCCGCCATTCTTCATGATCATGTCTGATGTCCAACTCAGTAGCCTAATCCTACTTTGTCTCCATAGCCTTTGTTTCCATTTGCCCCAAGTGCTGTGTCTAGCTGGCTGTTGAATACATTCAATGTTTTGGCATCAACTACTTTTGTGGTAATGAATTCCACAGGCTCCCCACTTTTGGGTGAAGAAATATCTCTTCATCTCTGTCCTAAATGGTCTGCCTCGAATCCTCAGACTGACTCCTGGTTCTGGACGCACCCACCATCGGGAACATCCTACCTGCATCTACCTGTCTAGACATGTTAGAATTTTATACGTCTGTGAGATCCCCCCCACCCTGCCCGACTTTGTCTGAGCTCCAGTGAAAACAATCCTAATCTAGCCAATCTCACCTCATACGTCAGTCCTGCCATTCCAGGCATCAGCCTGGTAAAATGAGTTTAGTGGCATTGGTAAGCAGTTTTTTTATTTTTTTTGACCCTTCATGCTTTTCTAATTGTAATGTTCTTCTGATTCCTAACTTGGTGAGTTATCTCAGCAGATCAGTAGGGCCACCTGCAGACTGCCAAATTTTGTTTTTTTTTAAGCAGCCTTAATCATTTTCATATGCACGTTACCAAAATGGCATTATATTGTGTGACCTTCTACAGAAACTGTATTCCATAGGTGGTACCTACAAGCTAAATCACGTTGCACTTGCATGGAGCCTTTCTATGATTTAATGATGATTATAGGGGAAAATATTTATAAATGAGTTCTTTGTTCTCTTTCCTGGTCATATATGGTCAAATAATTATATTACAGAGGATTTCTTGCCATTGTCTTAAATAATTTTGTGGTTTTAAAGATTTAGCAATCGTTTAAATTTTCATTTTCATACAAAATTGAAGCCCAGTTATTCTTGTTGGCAGCCAAAATTGGGTGGTGCATCATTTTGTCTTACTGTGAGGAAGTGCTTATTGTCTGAAATATCAACTTCCCTTTTAGAAACCATCCTGAAGATTCAAACACTCAAGTTCTTGAGGTCATGGACTCAGGACTCCTTATTAATTCCAAACCCATGAAAAAAATCACAATAATGCTGACTATGAGACTTTTTTCTGAAAATCTTGTGTAATGAAGCATGGGGTTTACATGCAATGAAAAAGATGGGTTGAACCACAACTTTTTTTTATTTTAAAGCTGTAGTTTACTTAACCCAGGTACGGGGAATGGTAAACTTTGAGAATTTTGCTGTTTTGGTTAACTTTTGTCTGTTTTCCCCACTGAAGGAAATTGATTTGCGCTTAAAATTACTTTCCTGCCTGAAACTTGTAGCAAGTATAAACATAAATTTCCACAGTCTAAATTTAAAACACAGGTAACAGGAAGTGGCAGTCCAGTCTTAGCTCTAGCTACCTATAAAACAACAAAATATGGGACAAGCAACTTACAGATGCCATAACCTTATCGTAAAAGCATTAAATGATATTTGCTTGAAAGCCCTAATTTTGTTTCCTCCTAAGTCAGTCAGTTGACTAAAGAATAGTAGCTGACAATACTGAATAAAAGATGCATGATTCAATCAGAAAACCAGAAACAGTTGTGTACCATTTTGATTCTGAGGTTCAGGAAGTTTGTTTTTCTCACTCACAATCTGGAACAGACTTTTACTGAAACAATATCCTATCTTAGAGTTTTGTCACACCAGAAATGGAGAAGGTGATCATGTTTTGAGAATCTTCAGGTCATTATCATGAAATTAAAACAAGAATTAACTGTTCACCTCAGTCTTGCAGTCCCTGTACAGATCCAGAATATCATTGGTTCCTTAAAAATGCCAGAAATCCAACTGTCGTATTGAATCATCATGAATAAGTTTGCTGAAATGTATGTGGCTTTCATGGTACCAAACCTGGAATATTGTGCACAATTTTGGTCTCCTTGCTTTTGGCAGTACAGCAAAAGTTCACAAGATTGGCCCTTGGGATGGGAGGTTAACTAAATTGGGCCTACACTCTCTGGAGTTTAGAAGAATGTGAGGTGATCTGACTGAAGATTCAAAATTAAGAAGGGGCATGACTGAGTAAAGTGATGTTTCCATTGCCTCTAGAAAAAGGGAGCATAGTTTCAAAATAAGGGGCTGACCAATTGGAGCTGAGATAAGAAATTTCTTTACTCGAAGGATTGCCAGTCTTAGGAATTCTCTACCCAGAAGGTTGAATATATGCTGAATATATTTAAGGCTGCTAGATAGATAGGTTTGTTTTTTGGCGTTTCAGGGAAATGAGGGATATGGGAGCAAGAGGAGTTGATTTTTAAGATCAACCGTGATCATATTGAATGATGGAGCAGGTTTGAGGGCCATATGGTCTTTTCCTGATCCACTTTCTTAAGCTATGTTCTTACATGAATCTGTTTTGTTTGAAACCCACTTTTAACAATTATTGAAATGGGATATGCATTCCAGATTTCAGAATGGACACTGGTGCCTTCCCTGTTTTGTGATTTAGCTGCTGGAATGAAGTTTTGGTTATCTGGGGTGTGTGATGTAGGTGCTACTAATTCATTGATCAGGAAACGTAAATCAAATATTTTTGTCAGTTACAAGTTATATTTTGCTTATATCTGCCCAGTTATTGATAATTTGACTGAGAAATGGTAGAACGATATATTGTTAAAATTTAGCAACTGAAAGTGGTGTTTGGCCTCCTGAAATGCTTTTTATGATATTAAATGGGTGATATTTCCAAAGCAAGTGACCTCTGCCGCCTAGCAGTAGAAGGGTAACGAGTGTATGGCAACACATTGCATCCAGCTTCTCTCTATCTCACATGAGCTTAACTTGGTCAGATATTGCATTAGGTCAGTTTTGTTGGGTCAATATCCTGGAACTCGTCATCTGAACACTGCTGTAAGAGCACCTTCATCACACGGATGTTAATTGTTCAAGAGGGTGGCCTAACACTTTTCATCAAGAGCGTAGCAATACGTGCCAGCATTATCAGCAGTGGTCACATCCCAAGAATGAATGTTTTACAAATTAAAATGCATGTCGATTTTTAAAATTTTTTTGTTGGATGTGTGGTTGGGAGGAGGTCGGGGAAAGACTGAAGACACCTGTGTGTTTTTGCATTTACTTAAAGAAATTGGACAAATTTGTTTTTTTTCTCTTTTCAGTGATACAGTATCTTACTGTTAAAGATTTTGGAAGAAATGAGGCAATTTGTCACACTTCTTCTGTTATGCTATTTGTTTTTAAATTTTGCATTAATATGCTACCTTTTCCCCTCTTTTCACGTTTCAGCTTTGATCAACTGAAAGTTGCTGCAAATTATTTAAGGAAGCAAGCAAACAAGAAGAATGAGGGGAGCTTAGCCTATGTGAAAGGAGGCCTCAGTACATTCTTTGAGGCTCAGGATGCACTGTCAGGTAATTGTTTTGTATATGACCTTGTCTCAAAATGCATTTATTTTCCAGGATACAGAACAAGAGCTAAAATTATTCTAATTGTAGAGGTAGGAGATGAAAAGAAAACAATTCTTCAAATCTTGTTTCCTCATTTTTTGAAAAATTCACTTGCTTTTAAAGCAAACGATTAAGACTCACCTGAGAATCTCCAGTGAGAGGGGATGATCTTTTTCCATTTACGCTTTCAAAGCTTTTCTTAACTGTTCCAGTGTCTCTCTTTCATCAGAGCTGATTTTCTCATCTTTAGCGAAAATCTATTTTCTTTATTGTTTCAATATTCTTCTTTGATCTGGCTATAGTGCGCTAACAGTGACTTAAGCATCGCTATGCAGATTTTCATTGTGAATTCTTGGTTTTGATCTTTATGTTCTTAATTGCAAACCACAAATGTTCTTTAACTTTTCATGCATTTATCTGTAATTGCTCTTTTGAGGAATGCTGCATTTGAAGGCCTGGTGACATATGTGGAGACAGGATGTAACTTTACTGTTTCAAGTGTGAAAGCTTCATTGGATATTGCAGATAATCCATGCTTAAAAGCAGAGTAGGAAAGGGGAAAGTTTGCATGTTGGGAAAGATGCAGGATGATCTGAAGAATGTTGAGTGTTTGAATGTTTTGAAAACAGTTCATGCTACAGAAGAGGAAGTGCTGGAGGTCTTAGAAAATATAAAGGTGGATAAATCTCCAGGACCTGATCTAGTGTATCCCAAGATGTTGTGGGAAGTTAGGGAGGAAATTGCAGGGTCCCCTGCAAAAATATTTTCGGCACCTGTAACTACAGGTTAACTACAGACAACAGAATGATTGGAGAGTGGCTAATGTTGTGCTTTTGTTTAGAAGGGATATAGGGTGAAGTCTGGGAGCTATAGACCTATGAGTCTGACTTCAGTGATGGGTAAGTTGTTTGAGGTGATTCTGAAAGATAGGATTCATTTTGAACTTGGAGAGGCAAAGAAAGATTCGGGATAGGCAACATGGCTTTGTGCGAAGAAAGTAGTGTCTTGCAAACTTGAGTTTTTTGAGGAAGTAACCAAGAGGATTGAGGGCAGAGGGGTAGACATTGTTTACTTGGACTTCAATAAAGCCTTTGATAAGGTTCCTCGTGGTAGACTAATTAGTAACTTTGGATCACATGGCATTCTGGATGAGCTTGCCAATTGGATACAAAATTAGCTTGATGGGCAGGAAGCAGAAATTGATGGCGGAAGGTTGTTTTTTGGACAGGAGGCCTGTGACCAGCGGTGTTACACAGGGATTGGTGCTGGGTCCAATTTACTGGTCATTTACATAAATGATTTACGTAAGGATATGGAAGGCATGGTTAGTAATTTTATAGATGACACCAAAATTGGTGGTATAGTGGACAATGAAGAAAGTTATCTAAGAGATCTTGATCAATGAGCTGAAGAATGGCAGATGGAGTTTAATTTGGATATACGTGAGGTATTGCATTTTGGTAACATAAACAAGGGCAAGACTTGTATACTTAAAAGTAGGCCCTTGGGTAGTGTTGTAGAACAGAGAGACCTAGGGGTTCAGGTACATAATTTTTTGAAGTTTACATCATATGTAGACAAGGTGGTTAAGAAGGCATTTAGCATGCTTGTCTTCATTGCTCAGACCTTTTGAGTATAGAAGTCAGGATGGCATATTGAGGTTGTACACTACGTTGGTGAGGCCTCTTCTGGAGTACTGCGTTCAGTTCTGGTCGCCCAGTTATAGGAAGGATATTATTAAGCTGGAGAGGGTTCAAAAGAGATTTACTAGGATCTTCCTAGGAATGGAAGGTTTGAGTTATGAGGAGAGGCTTGATAGATCGGGACATTTTTCATTGGAGCGTAGGAGGTTGAGGGGTGATGTTATAGCGGTTTATTAAATCATGAGGTGTATAGATACAGTGAATGGCAGGTGTCTTTTCCCCAATGTTGGGGATTTCAAAACCTAGGTGACATTTTTAAGGTGAGAGGAGAAAGAGTTAACGACATGAGGGGCATTTTTTTATGTAGAGTGTGGTTCATATGTGGATTGAACTTTCAGAGGAAGTGGTGGATGTGGGTACAACTACAACATTTAAAAGACATTTGGATTAGGTACATGAATAGGAAAGGTTTGGAGGGATATGGGCCAAGCACAAGCAGAAGGGACTAGTTTAGTTTGGGATTATGGTCGGCATGGACTGATTGGACCTAAGGGTATGTTTCCGTGCTGTATGACTCTGACTCAGTGAGTGGTAAGCCAAATGTTGTGCAGAGAGATGAAATGGACTGAACGGGATGCATCTTACGATGCTGAGGGAAACATTGTAGAAATACTGGCAATTATCTTACAATCCCTCTTTAGATGCAGAATGATGCATGAGGACTGGAGAATTGCAAGTATTTCATTTCAAGAAAGGATAAACTCAGAAATTACAGGTCACTCAGTTTAACTTTGGTGGTGGGAAACCTTTTAAAATGGTAATCCAGAACAAAATTATCAGTTATTTGGACAAGTGTAGATGAATTAAGGACAGCCTGCATTGATTATAGGCAAATTGTGTTTAACTAATTTGATTTTCGATGAGATGACAGCAGTCACATCATCTACATGGACTAATAAGAGGTGTTTGATAAAGTACTGCATATTAAGCTTGCCAGCAAAGATGACGCTCAGAGAACAAAACCAGCAATAGCAGCATGGATCCAGACTTAATTGAATGGTAGCAAACAATGAGTAATGGTAAATGCTTGTTTTTCACTCAAGATGGTGGGATTTCACTACATATTAACGACTAAGAGTTTGGTGTACAGAAACAATTCCACAAAGGTGAAGGAACAGAGACCTTGCCATATATGTACATAAATTGTTAAAGGCAGCTTGAGAAAATGGGTAATAGAGTGATAGTATGCTAAAGCAAGGGAGTCATAATAAAACTTTATAAGACACTGCAGTTACACTACCCCAAATCCATTGGGGTAGTGTATGGGAACGGAATGGAATTGGATAAGAGGGAGAATTTCCAGGGCTATTTGGAGAGGGGAGGTGAGTAAAACTAGCTGAGTTACTCATGCAAAGTGAGAGCATCAATTATGGCAAGCCAAATGGTAAGTTCCTCTGCTGTACCCATTCTGTGACTGAATGCTTTTAGTTTCAAATCCATTTCCACAGATGAACAATACACTGCATTAAACTTGTTCATATTGTTTTTTGTAATGTTTTGATTTGACATCTTGTAGGCTTGCTGAGTGCTAAAAATGTTGTTCAGAAGATGTTAAATGAAAGCAGATGCAGCACATTTTTCCTTGAAAACTGACAGTTTGCAGAAGTGCTCCTAAAAGTGTTGCTACAATTACATATATCTGTCAGCCTGTTTCCTCCTCCACTTGTTGCCTTTAGTGGGTGGGCAGTGCAGGACTAGTCAAGTGCCAGTTTGCCATAGGGCCAGGAAGTTCTTCAATCCACATGTAGATCATGGTCTATGACTTGAATAGCTGTATACTGATGACTAGTTCCAAAGGTTTTTCTAACTAGTAAATTAAGATTCTAACACTAACTTTGTTCTATAATAGACAGTCAATGACTGAATCTGTCCATTTTACTTTCTTCATTTCAAATGGTTAACCATCTTTGCTTTAGTACGAGAAATGGCCTGCACGTAAACATTTTTTGGTTAACTACAGAACACAATGCTTTGAATTTCATTATAATTCTGAAAGTGACGCAGTTCAATTTCTTTTTGAAAAAGCAGTTAGAAAGAAGGGCTAATTTTAAGGGTTGATGGCTCGCTTGGATTACTTGCTTTGTCTGCTACTGTATAGAATGATGAGCAGGCTCGAGTTCTTGCTATCAGTCAGCCTCCCTGAAGGTTCGGTGCTCAGCTGGAAGCTTACCATTTTACTCATACCTTTGGTGATCTGTTCAGTTTTTCCTAATAAAAATCAGTTTTTGGAAGCTTCAGTACACAACCTGTCAATACATTTGAAAATAATGCTGAAAATCACAGCAGGTCAGGCAGCATCCATGGAGAGAAAATAAGCTAACGTTTCGTGTCTAGATGACTTCTTTTTTATTTCCTCATTTGATGTCCTGTGACTGCTTAAATGCTGTTGAGTTAAACTGCCGAACACATTTACTGAAGTTACACCTGGTTCCAAATGAGTGTCAGTTGAGCTGAATTGGAAATTTAGATTGCAGGATTGTTCAGAGAGCAGAGCTGAACATTGTTGTGGGGACAGGGAGGGGTCTTAGCAATGCGGTAACTCATTAGATGTTAATCTTGATCTCAGCTGGTTATTTTTCTGAAATGCATACAATAACCATTTTGAAAGTAAAGACACCTGCAATAAATAGGGCAGCTGATGTTAGTCCCTAAGGTTTCTATAATTTATAGCTTTATTGTGTATGGGTTTATGTAGAGGTAAAAGCATAATTGTATTTAAAAATTAATTGGATTCACCTGTGCAGGTAAGATTTAAAATTGCATCCTGACATTTAAAAGAAAATAATGGAAAACAACTTCTTGTTTAGGTTGTACTTATTTTTTTTGCTGGTTTTGCCCCAAATAACCTCTGATCTGATAGTGTCATTGTCTCATGAGACTCAGTTGTAGCTATTTGGGGATGATTTAATTAAGTGTGTCTATATTTTAAGCACAATCAGTTGTAGCCGATCTCTGCTTTGCATATATTTGAAGTGGACATTCTTGATGCATTCTACTCCAACCAGAGCCAGTTGATAAATATCAGTCGCTTTAAAGAGATTGTGCATTCATTTTAGGACAGCAGATGAAAATTATCCTTTGGAGCATTAGATTAGTTAAACATTCTCAAAAAAACTATAACGAACAAGATGGTTTTAGACCACCATCTCCTAAAGAAATAAATGCAGGCTTCAGGTGTGTGAATTTTAATTTGCCCTTAATAGTAAACCAACTTATTATGCTCAACCTATGAATGCATTTAACAGATGCACAAAATTTCTA